TCCTTCAGACAAATTAATTCAATTTTCACTTCTGTTTTCACAGATAGGTCATTATTGGAGAGGGGAGGTTATGTAATGCCCACTTTTTCCGAAGTATAGGATACAGGTTTCTTTTCTGCACAAAAGACTACATTACAGGCTGTCAAATGGGCCTTGCAAAATTCCCTGTTTTACTGGTCATTTCAGTTCCAATTACCAAATGCCAGGCACTCATATTCCTGAGTTTTGCGCTTTACACAGGGTCTACATTTCAGTACACACTTCCTCAGGATTTATTTTGCTTTTGCCTGCAGTGGTGAAGTGGCTAAACATTTCATTGCTCATCACTTGGATGCATTTACTAACCTTGACTGCCTGCAGACAATTAAGACTGATAATGGCCCAGCATATAGAAGTGCTGCTTTCCAAAGGATTTGTAAAACTTTTCATGTTTCCCTTACTACAGGAATTTTTATAACCTTCAAGGTCTAAAAAATTGTTACACATGCTCACTTTATGCTCAAAATTCAAGTACAAAAACAAAAGGGGCAATCAATCACTCCCACCTCAGTTGGGAGTGTATATTATTACAATTCAATCAGGTAAAGCACAGAAAAGCTACTTTGGGGTCATGGATATGCTTCTATTTTTCCAGAGAATGCTGAACAACTTATCTGGGTGCTACAGCATGCTGTCCAGCTGTATCATGAACCCAGATGTGGACAAGGAGTTGACACATAGTCCTATGACAGTGATGCCTTGGAGACAACTCCACAACCTATAGACAGGGATGAGGCTAGACCTTGCCTGGGGCCTATTAAAGAAACTGACCCAGAATGCCCAGGAAACGGTAACGAAAAATGGGAATCAAAGGTCTGAGTAAGGGATAGAGTATATAGAGATAACTGGGCTGAAAGTTACCAGTATTCTTAAAATAAAATATTAAAAATATATGTCCATTGCAGATAAAAGATTTTATTCCTTACAAATTCTTCTTCTAAGAGATCTCTGCTAATCGATCAACAAAAAATTAGATTAGTCTATTTATAATTATAAATTTCTAAAATTGTAGAAGAGTTACTATAATTAAATTTGGTCAAAAATATATGAGTGTCCTCGATTTTCTAAGATGTTTGTTTCTTCAGTCTGTTAAGCTGTTTACTTGTCTTGTTATGGCAAGTGAGTCCATGGAGAAAGACACGCACAGAAAACCAAAACAAGCATGAATGAACAAAGCTTTATTGGCCAACTGACAGATCACCTCTAACCCAGAATCAGAGAAGATGTCCATGCTGCTCTGGGACTCACCTTTGGTTTTAGTACATTTCAGGTTTCCATGCTAATCATTACTTCATTTTCAGGCATCTCACAAGAGTGCCACATAATTAGCACAAATTTTACCTTTCTCCCAATAGGTCAGACAACCAAATTCCAATGACCATAATGGGTTAGCCTTTAACATATTTCCCAATTTTCTCTGTTCTGTTCCCAATTTATGGCTTTTCTCTGCTTTTAAGCAAGTTGATAAGGGGGCTGGGGTGTGGGGGTGTCAACTACAGCTTAAGTGAACTTCAAGTGACAACTTACTATGAAGTTAAAGCCAGAAAAATGGAGTTTCTCTTGCTCTATCAGTTTCTTTGTCCATTCTGTGAACAACTGTTCATTTTTTGAACTCAACAATATTTCCTCTTTCCCCTTTTTCTTTTGCATTTTGGGACCATTTGTTCTTAATACATACAATTTCAGTTACAGACTTAAAAGCATGCTTTCACCTGGGTTACCAGCTAGTCAGTATGATATCAAAATTGGTTTACTCATAGGTCATCAAAAAAGTAAGATC